AAAAAAAAAAAGTTGAAATAACAAATCATGCAAGATTTACAATTTTGTGGCATAAAAAAGTAATCGCAACAACTGTTAACACTGAAGTAACTGATAATGAGTCTCCTTCAAGAAGAAACTAAAATTAAATCAATTGTTAATGAGACTTGTGATCTAAATTAATCTCAAGCAATATTTTAAAATACCAAAGAAATTAAATCATAAGTTATTTATTTTGGAAAGCATATTAATTATATATTTAATATATTTAATATATAAAGAAATTGTATGTGTGTGTTATATAACATTATATATTGCTTTATACAAGTAGAGTAAAGCAAAAATAACTCATGTTCAAGCTTGTGTTTGATTGATAAATGAATCAACTTGGCTTGGCTCATTTATAAAACAAGTGAGACTCAACTCAGTTAATAAACAAATTCGATTAAGTGTTTAAGATTAGTTCATTAAATTATAAGAACAAGCTTAACTCGAGTTTTTATGAGTCAAACTGAACTAGCTTAACTCAAGTTTTTATGAGTCAAACTGAGCTAGCTTAACTTGAGTGTTTATGAGTCAAACTGAGTTGTGTTCGTAGACATTTTTGTTAGAATAACAACTTTAATTCCCCCGAAGTCCCGTTACCATTATACTATATAACATCATCAATATTCCGAACAATCAAGATTTCGTCACAATATATATACCACGCAGATTATTATGCTAACGGCTTCAACAAACGTCTAACTGAACGAGTGTTTTCATATTCCATGCCCGTAAATTGAGGAAAAAACAATACTCGTCGTGCAATTATTTCCCTAACAAACACACACACACACACACACACACACACACACACATATATATATATATATATATATATAATCTAACGATAGTCTAACGATGAAGTGCGGACGTGAGACCTCATCTTGTTCATTCACTGCGCATCTAATCTAACGATGAAGATTTATTTATTACATTAATTAATTTTGGCGGCCGATTTCACTAAGATGCTTCCCGTCTTTTTGTTTCTCATCTGACAAAATCATCCGATCCTGCAACGAAATGCTAGCTGCGCCGCCGATTGGTCCTGTCACTTTCTCATACTTCAGAGCCACCAATTGATGAACTTGTCTGATTCGGTATGTTTTTCTCTTTGTTATTCCTTCTTGTCCGTAGCTAGGGAAATAATCTACTTCCTTTGATGGAAAGTCGGGACCGGGAACATGGGGAGAGCCGCCGACTGTCGAGACAATTATATCTTTCCTTTTGCTTCCCCCTTTGGTACTTGTCTAAATAAATTAATTATTTATTATGTTACCATATTTAAAAAAAAAAAAAACATAATGATTTTTAAAAATTTATTTAATTACTTATGCAATTGGCATGGTGACACAATATCAACATGAATTACTATATAACAAATATATTTTGCATTTCGATTAATGATAGTCTAACAAGTTTTAGAATATCTATCTAAAATATTACCTTATACTATATTATTACTGTGGTAAAAGTTAAAATAAATAATAATTGGGATTCCAAAAAACTGAAAAAGTTATCTTTTTTTATCTCACTGCAAAGAGCAAAGTGTACCGTAGTGCACTATTCGTGTGATTCTCCCCATTGAAACACACTATAGCTGTTTTCAGTCCTTACTGCTCCATTTTCACCACTATTTGCTAAAGCCTAACTTTCTACACAAGATCGATCGATCGCTCAACAGTGACCCGCAGCTCCCAATCAATGGCAGGCGGCGAAAGCAACACCACCACCGGAAAGGACGCGGTTGAGCTGGAAGCTATGCGCAAAGGCAGCTTCTCATGGCACCCCTGCCAGGTCTCTCTCTGGTGAGTTCCTTCTCGTCGTAGGTCCCCATCAATGGCAGCTTCTCGGTTAGTTTTCGCAGTAAGTAGATTTACTTTTTTCTTGTATCTATTCTACTAAGAGATCTTGGAGCATATTTGGTTCAAGATGTTTGTTGTTGTGATTTGGTTTGTTACTCTAGTGAAATTAATGTTTGTGGGGTAGTTTTCTGGAATTGAGTATCACTTCTGAAATTGAACTGTATGGCTATTATTTTGTGATGAGTTAGGTAATATAAGGAAATCTCTGCGTTTGGATACATATGTATGCATATATGCATAGACATGGATCAAATGAGGACCAACAACTTGGGTGAGAACTTAAGAAATCTGCTACATACTTTTTATGTGATGTTATTTTAACAATGCACGGTGACAAAAAGCAGTGTGTTCCTACGTTAAGCATGGTTTAGTTTAAACGACACCCTCTGATTACTTGATTCTCTTATTGGGTTTAGTTTAATTAAACCATGAGTCTAGTTGGGGTTGCATTTAAAGTTTCTTAAAGGCTTTCTGTTTTGGCCCGCCAAGTCAAGCACTAATGATTTTCAATTTTAGTGAGTACCAAATACGGTTCGATATGTTAGTTAATTCAGAGGTTTTGCTTGTTTTGGTTGAATTTCAGTAAATTTTCTTTTTCTTGGAGACATAACATTTTCGCTAGTGCTTGGGATGATTTTTTATGGGCTTAATTACACGAGTGAACGTGTATTCCATGAGGGTTATAAGTTTTTTTGTCCGTGCAGCTCGAGCGGGTCGGGTCTTATTGTGGAATATGAAGACGGCCATTCACAATTAGTGATTGCGGATAAAGAGGAAATACTTTCGCGTGTTCGTGTGCGTTCGACTCCATTACAGGGTGATGATTGCTCTTCCCTTGAGCAAGGGAATCATGTGCTTGCCCAGAGCCCACTTTCTAGGAATGTCTTCTATGATGCTCGGGTGGAAAAGGTACAGTTTACTGATCTCTTAGTTCGGTTCTGTATAAATGCTACTCAGGTGAGTGATATACATGGAAATAATGTCTTTACTGGAATGCTATTACAGAAGTTCACTTTTCTGATGTCAAGATGTAACATAGAAGTTCGTATTATGGTCAATTTGGGAGTAGCACTCTTAGTAAATGTTTGGCTTGAGGAAAAAAGTGCAGTTTTCTTTTCCTGTTGTTGTTGTTGCTTTTTTTTTTTTTTTTTTTTTTTTTNNNNTTTTTGTCGATGTGTTTTTCAGTTTTTAACACCTTGCTTTTTTGGCTTGTGATCTGATTAGAAAATGCTGAACTAGTGCGTGAAGTGAATGGATATTTGGTTTAGGAATGAAAGATGAGTTTATCAAAATAAACCTTACAACCCAGTTGCCATGGAGAAGATATTGGTCCCATACCCGTTCTTTTGCCATGATGATCAAAATTTCCAATTTTCTACTTTCTTTTTGTGGTGTGTCTGTCTATTCTTGATTCCTCAAGTATATGCATTTATTTAGTTTTAGATTTTATTCATAAGAATTCATCGGTACTGAGGAGTGAGGACCAGTATCTTATTGAGATTGGAACATAGTTTTTTTTCCCCAACATATTCATAGTTGATGTAATTAACTACTTGTATAGAAATGCATTGCCAGAGTTTCTTTTTCTTGGGACTCAATTGTTAATTAAGAAAGCTTGATGAAACTAACAGGCAGTCCGTGTGAGGCACTCGAAGAGGAGCCTCTGCAGATGTTCCTTCACAGTCAAATGGCTCGACCAATCTATTGGGGATGAAGCTTTAACTGTCCCAGCCACTGGAGTCATGAAACTATCTACTAAAAGCATCGATCTCCACCCGACCATTTCTACTTTCTTCAGCATGCTGGAATCCATAAATGACGTAGACGATTCGCTGTGTTTGAAAATTGTTGACGATATGAACTGGGAAAAAGATATTAACGTGCTGCTGGAAAAACAAATAGAGGTGTTAAGTAATGCCACTGCTGCGCACGTGAAGATTTCTAGGGACATTGTTTATGGTTTCGCAGGTGATTTTCGCAATCCATTTTTCTCAATCAGATTCTTGTGAATTTTCGGTATTGTAATTAGGCAATCTGTGTCACCTTCATTAGCCAAATATTGAAAATGATCCAATTAATTTTTTAATTCACAACTCGTGTGACAAGGCAGAGACATTTATATATAAATGTCACGTAATTTATTCTTTTTTTTGTTAGAACTCATTTCAAGTTGAGATTATACTTCCAGGGAAGTGAATTAGGCATGGAATTGTTGTGAAGAATGCACTAGCTTGGTACTTCTTGAAGGGCATTTCTAAATTTGGTAGAGTGCTTAAGTTGACAATACGATAATTTCATTAGCCCATAGTCATCCACCCGTTAAGATTATCATTATTGGTTTAAAGGGGAAAAAATGGAAAATGAGAAGAATGAAGGCATAAACTAACTCACACTGTGATTCCACTTTTAGAATCACTTTAGTTTCGAAAAACTCCATGTGAAAAACCCATGAATCCCTATTTGTGGTTGACAATACGATTTCGTAAGTCTTCGAGTCATCCACCCGTTAGGATTGACATAGGTTAAAAAAAAAAGGAAAATGAGAAGACTGAAGACATAATCAACTCATACTGTTGTGTTGTTCCACTTTTAGAATCACTTTAGTTTCGAAAAACTCCATGTTAAACCCCATGAAAAAATTCCTAAATAGTGGTTATTCAAAAAAAGTGCATGTTCCTTTCCAAAACATTACAATATTGCAATATTTTCCAAACCCTTGATGTGGATAATTTGCATGGAGTTCCCTGTGTGCAGCTGATGTCAAAGAACGGACTCCCGATGAATCCTTGAAAGAACCGAACGTCCCGAATTCTTTGCCAAGTAATTTGAAGGTTCCTCCAGCTTCCGTCTCGCCAATCCAAGAGGGTACCACTGGAAACAGATTGCCTCTCAACCCCCTTGCTGCTCGTGCAGCTCTTGCTTCACTAAGATCAAACTTTCCCAAGAGTACAGATGCTAACACCAGTGAGCATTGTTCTTCAGTTGCAGATGGCCTCTCGTCAAAAGTATCAGCAATGTCAATGGACACAAGTCCGAATATTGAGGGCATTGCTAAGACACTCTTCCCAGCACCAAGTGCTTCTCGAGCACGTGTAACGCGAAGCAAAAAGAAAAACGAGATTCCAGAAAAGGATACGAGCCAACCTTCAGAAACGAGGCTTACTCGTTCTCGAACTCAGAAAAATAACGGAGCAGATGAATCTTATGAAATCAATGGTGAAAACGGTGTGGATTCTGCTGAGAACAAAAAGAAGACCAGGCTTACTCGTTCTCGAACTCAGAAAAATAACGGAGCAGGTGAATCTTCTGAAATCAATCGTGAAAACAGTGTAGATTCTGCTGAGAACAACAAAGGCCTGTCAGAAAAAGATGAAATGATTGCTAAAGTCAAAGATGAGAAGGTGGTGATTTTTGCTGAGGATACTGATGAAAAGCACAATTGCCGCAAAAGGATTACACGTTCTTCTGCTAGAGAGGAGACCAAGAAAGGTAATGTGCAACCCGAATCAAAACTTGGAAAAAGCAGCTTCTCTGAATCAAATGAAGAAGATTTGTTTAATGGGAATGGTTCGACCGAGATGAAGAAAGTTAAAATCACTCCAAAAAACGAAGGTACTTAATACTTGCACTCAGTAAATAGGACTTGTTGATTCTTTTTATTATGTACATGATATATAGCATCTCTCTTTATTCATTTACTGTGAACTGTATAGTCTGACTCGCTACATGAATGCTACTATTTATATGATAAGTCACCAAAGTGTTTCAAATAATTTTGATATGTGCAAGTCATTATAAATTTCCTAATTTTTGTTCTACTTTTCTATACCTACATTTGCCTTCTATTTCTATATGGGGAAGTCGCTATTGTCCTCTTGTGCAATTTCCTTTTCTTGTAAAGAAATGAATATCAGTCATTTTCACGATGATCTACGGATGACAGGTTTTGAGAGCTGGAAAATCTTCTTGATTTATTTATTTTCTTATTTACTGAAAATCTTTTTCTGAAAAGAGTAATTATAATTGTGCAGAAGATGGTGTTACTGGTAATAGCAAATGTACAAGGAAGAAGTTTGTTAGTGCAACAAATCAGCAAACACGTTCTTCTCCTCGTCTCAAGCTTCTTCCTCGAACCCATTCCTAGACAAAGCTTCTTCCTCGAACACATTTTGATCCTTGGCATATTAAGCGGGTAATTGTGACAGTCTCTATCTTTAAGGATGAAGAACATGGTCTATGTAAGAGTGTAAGAAACTAGCTTTCTGTATCTAGTGGAAACAATCACATGACATAAATTTTCGATAATGCCAATATAACATGTCATGTGTTATGTACTTACCAAAAATAATTACCAAAACCAGCTCTATTACAGTAAGAAGTATATGTGCTTGCTATTTAGATGGGCTCAGATGGCAATGACTCATTAGTTTACTAAATGATGGGCCCCTTAAGAATAATGTGCCGACCCGATATGGCCCAAATTAAGCCCCTTGACATCCCAAGAACTGAAACTGGTGCCAGCTAATTACCTATTTACCACAAAAGCTCTTAAATACGATTAGGGGTTTCGAGGTCGACTTTGATCGGTTTCGAGGTCGACTTTCTTCATGTTCAGCAAATTCGAGTTCAATATAAAAGCTCTCTTATAATTAGTTTTGGGTGAACTCGTCTAGATGCCCATGGTTTATATTGCATCTATTAATAATTACTATATAGTTTCAAATCTACTCCCCAAATTGTATCGGCTCGATTCAACTCGACTTGTTAAGACTCAAAAGGTTTGAGTCGAGCTCGTGCTCGTTTAAACTTGTTAAGGCTCGTTACGCTTGGGAACAAAGTTTTCACGTAATTGTTTGAATCCTTAGTTTAACTTAACTCGTTAAAATTATATGTTCATCTCCATAATAATAAATAAACGAGTTGAACTCAAGCTCATTTAGTAATAAGACGAGCTTAAGTATCGTCAGTTTAAGTTCGGCTTGAGTCGTTATACCCCTACACTAAAAGAGAATGAGATGGACAATCTAAAGATAGGTTCATCAAGTCTGACGAGCCAAACACTATAATTTCAAAAATCACATGAAAACTCAACTCGACTCAGACTTGTTAAAAATTTCTATACGAGCCGATTGAGCACGAAAACCCCAAAGCCTAGTCGAACTCTCGGTTCAACGGCAAACCTAATGCATGGGGCCCACTCTATTCGATTCTAATAACGACTTTCTACTTGGGTCTCTTTCATACATCCCCAATGGGCATTGTGAGAGGGGTTGGTGGGAACACCAAATGTATTGAAATTTCGGCGGACTTGAAGACTTTGACGAGTTGAATACGATGTTTTGTTGTGTGATTTGATTCTCTACAAATAATTTATCGTACGAACTGCAAAAGGAGACTTTCTGATACAGACATTAATGAAGTATAAAAAATAAAGAGAACAATAAATAAATAAATAAGTAAATAAAAACAGACATATGACTATATAAGGAGCTGGATTTCTGGTACATGCTTTATTTTCCTTGTAATTTTGAAATAATTTTATTGTACGAACTCGAATTGAAACGTAATTTTTCTAATTAAAAGTGTATAAACTTTCATAGTCGGCGTGACTCGTGAGAAAAGAGATCCTTGAATTAGAGTTCTTTGTTGAAGAGTAATTTCCAGTTGCATTAGTCAATATACTTGAATATGTAAAAAAAATGAATCATTTCCAAGGGCATTAATTAGTCAATATATATATATACTTGATGTAACAAAAATGAGGTTCTTAAATTCAATTTTAGATTTAATTTTACTACTGGGAGTCAATTTACTTTGTCAAATTTGTTTATCAATGATTTAATGTGTTGACAAAATTTTGCATTGTTATTTCGCTAATGCTATAATGAAAAAGATAATGGATGGTTATTGAAATGGTCTGAGAATAAAGACTTCAGCCTTCCAAAGGATCCTCTTCGATTTGAATCGTGGATTAGCTGGTTCGGCTTGGTCCAAGCACACGAGTTTGCCGGTACCTGCAAAAGCGTTGGAATTGCTCCGGTCAAGTCAATATTTCGGAATAGAGGAATAATTTGTAATAAATGTAATAGTGTTTCTATTAAATGACTCTTGTCTCTCCACTATGGAATTTACCTCTTATATAGTGAACAGTTGTATGGTCTTCACCTTGGAGTCCTAGGTCCTTAAATATTTATCGACCGAGCCTAACCTAGTCGATGCTCGGATTCATGGGCTAATACCCGACCCGTCGTGTGACTAGCATGTATCGGGCCCATGGTCGACTCTCGGTCGAGCCATTGACCGGTTGGCTCAAGGGTCGAAGCTCGACCCTTCGGCTGCTTGTCTCTCGATCGAGCCTCAAATCGGACGAGGCTAGGGTTGAAGATCGACCATTTAGTCTGGTCGAGCCTCAAGGTGTGCTCTACTTCGATTTTACGAGAATTATACAGAATCGGTACTAATATCCCTATCAGTTATACTTTGCATTTTTTGATAAATTCATTCTTAAGTCAATCTCATAGTGCAGCATGACTCTAATTTTTTATAGATGAAGAAGTTACATAACTAAATAATATGAAGACCTTATATCAATTTGTTTGAAGAAGTTAGACAATGAAATATAATAAGATCTTACTTTAGGTTTATTTGGTAGGATGGATTATAAAAAAAACTACACCTTAATTACGATACTTAGAGCATCTCCAACCGAATACACCAAACTCAAACCTATTTTGCAGTACACATCCCATTTTGCAGTAATTCATCTCCAACCGAAAAACTCATTTTCCAACTAAAAAGAATATTCTCGGAATATTCTCTTTTACATCAACTTTTACAACTTTTCAATACTACCCACATATTTTACAACTTTACAAATTAAACCACACTTTTATTTTCAATTGAATTTAGACTTTATGTAATAAAATCGGAAAAATAAATAGTCATTAAAAATAAAATTTAAAAATTGCAACACACAATATAATATTAAAAATTACATTTTGAAAAATGATTTAGGGCATATATGGTCTAGACCATATATGGTTTAGGGCATATATTTACAGTCTAGATTTTCTTAGTCAATATATGCCCAAAATCATATATGGTCTAGACTGTAAATATGCACTAATACACATTATACAATAAATAAGAATACCATAAATAATATGTATATTTTATATTATTATTTAAAATATATAAAATGAAATGATAAATGCAATATTTATTATTTTAAATATTGTACTATTTAATTTTTATGAAATAAAGAGTTTTTTAGGGCTTGATTGTTTATGAAATAATTTGTTCAAATTGAGTTATTTTGATTAACTATAGTTAATTTTGAAAAAGATGGTATGGTTAGTTGTAGTGGAATTTTAAGAATGTATTAAAATAATATTTAAAATAAAATAATTAAAATTGATTTGATGTAAAAGTAAGAGATAAATGATTGGAAATGATAGGTAGTTAAAATTATGTCAGTGGATGAATAGTGAATTAAAGTTGATGTGATGTGTAAGAATGATTAGTTTGTATTATTTAATTATATGAATAATATTAAAGATAGTGAGGTTGAATTAAAGTTGAGTTAAATTTTGAGTTGAAATAAAAGTGAGCGAATTAATTCATAAGCAATCAAGCCCTTAGTATTTTACATTATTATTGTTAAAAAATATAAAATTAATATGTATATTTACACTATTATTGTGAACAAACATATAAATTAATATGATACTCATTATCTTAAATCTATGAAACTACACAAAAAAAAAAAAAAAAAAAAA